CCTCTCCTGACCCGCCCGCTGCTCCCCTCAGCAGTGTACTTCATCGATCTGCCTGTTCTGCTTCCCACTCTGTCTCTGGTGAATCCTATCATCCTCTGCATCTCCATCCTGTACCCCAGTTCTGTATGAATAAACAAATAAATCTTTTTTTTAAAAAGAGCATTATTATAATCTACTTTGATCTTCCCAAGATTTCTAAAAGATATTAACATCATCCCTTTTCTAAAAATGAGGAACAAAATAAATCTTAAGACTACTTAAGCTTCAGAAATTAAGTATTCTGCATAAGGTCACAAAGCAAGGAAATGGAGGACCCAGAATTTGAGTTCTATTGGTAACCTTGCTCTAGGCTGTCTCATTCATTCAACAAATGGACATTAAGTTCTTCATGCCACACCCAGGTTATCACATTAAATATAGGTCAAAAACTCCACCCTCTCTCTATGCTTCCTTCCATAGAGATGTATCATATATCAACTGAACTCTTTTTGAGTTCATACTCTCAGATGCACAACTTTTATTTAGGCTTACTGTAAGCCTTACGTAGAACAAGTATTTTAGGGCCCTCCCTGGTGGTACAAGGGTTTAAAGAGCAGCACTATGAAGCTATCTGCAGCTACTGCACCACGAGTTCTATGCCAACCAGGGAGCTGACCCATATGACACAGCAGACCTCTCCTGTCCCACCTGCTGCTCCCCTCAGCAGTATATTTCAGTAGATCTGCCTGTTCTGCTCCCCCCTCTGTCTCTGGTGAATCCTCTCACCTCACACAACTCTGGCCTATATCCCAGTTTTTGTATGCATAAATGAATCCTTTTTTTTTTTTTTTAAAGAAAGAAATGTAAAGGTGTTTTAGCTTTTGAAGGAGTCTGCAAAAGGAGACCTAGGGTCCAAGTCCGTCTGCAACTCACTTTTATAAGTAAAGTTTTATTGGCATGCTGCCTCATTCATTCCCTTACACAAGGTATTAAATATGTGCCATCTGATCATTTACATAGTTTGTTGGCTTCTACTTAGAGGAAAAGTCTGAGTGCTAGGAAGGAAGGGGGAGGTTATCCATGACTGAGGTCATGACAGAAGAGGGATCCTCCCCGTACCTTCACTGTCTAATACTCACCCTGCATTATGGTTTTTGTCAGTCATCTGAAATGGATTTTATTTCTGATATCCACACAGACAGCTTTACTGCTTAGATGGATTACAAAACAACTTTTCAGTAAGAGAGCTCTCTTTTTACATGGAGCATCAGAAAACATAAGAGAAATCTGTGACTTTTTATAGAAATCTGAGTCTAGTTAAGTCTGTTCCCACCTGAAACCCTAGGTTTGATTCCTCAATGAGCCAAAGTTTTGTATTTATTTCAGAAACTTGTATATTTTCCTTTCTTATTGGGATGATAAGTCATTTTAACAACTAGGACCTAAGTGTTAAGAGTATTTTTTATGACCAAATGATTTGCTCCAGCCTCCCTTTAATGCAGTGGTTTCAGGCCTGGGTTTGTACCACAATCATCCAGGAGGTGAGCAAACTGGTGTTCAGTCACATCCCCCTGTAGAATGTCTGGTTTATAGTTGTTTGTTGATGTTCTTTTTTTTCTTTATTATAATTACTACATATTTAAAAAAAATTTTTTTTCCTGATCCCTTACATTCCTGCTATGAGTGAAACCATCTGGTAGTTTTCTTTTTCTTTCTGGCTTATTTCACTAAGCATGATCTTTTCCAGTCCCACCCATATTGCTCCAAATGGCATGAGTTTATCTGTTTTGATTGCTGAGTAATATTCCATTGTGTATATGTACCACACCTTCTTGATCTAGTCATCTATTTTTTGGCATTTGGGTTGAGTCCACATCTTCCCTATTGTAAATAGGGCAGCAATAAAGATAGGGGTGCAGGTGTTCTTTTTAATTATTGTTGTCCTTTGGGTAGATACCTAGGAATGGAATTGCTGGATCATATGGAAGCTCCATTTTTAGCAGTTCGAGGAACCTCCACACAGCTATCCATAGTGGTTGTACCAGTTTGCATTCTCACGAGCAGTGTTAGAGAGTTCCTTTTTCTTTACACCCTCAACAACATTTCTTGTTGTTTGCTTTTTTTAATATGTGACACCAGTGTTTTTAATGTTTTCCTGGTTATTTTAAAATGTAGTCAAGGGTGAGAACTATGCTTGCATTAAAAGTCATTGCCATCATAAAAGAGGGCTGATACAGTTACTTTTCCTGTTATATATGAACAATTACTGTACCTGGAATGTAAGGTTAGGTCTTTTAAAAGAGCAGAAAAAAAAGTGCTGCAGGGGCTGAAGGAAGCAGCAGCCCCTGTATACCATCCAGAATCTCCCTGCTCTTGAGCCTAAAGGGGTTACTTTCTCTGAGACCTGACCAGGACCAAACCCCTGCTCTGTCAATGAGGCCCTGCAGAGAGCTGCCTCGGTGGGCTAGCTGAGGAAGGCCCTGAGGGACAGGGCTTGGTAAAGGCAGGCTCTCCCTGGGCCTGTTTAGAAACCCCTTCTGTTCAAATGGGCTTTCAGGCAGAACACACAGATTTTTCAGTTAATGAAAAAGACACTATCTCTGAAGAACTTGAAAATACAGATCAAGAAAAGTATCTCTATTATACACATGTACATGAGTATTGTTGTTATATATTTAATAATTACATGTTATATGTGATAACACATAACTATATTATAAAATTATATGAACATATTACATTTATACTATTTTATAAGCTTATATTATATAGCATTTTAGATGATTATGAATCATTTTATATATCTATCACTACATATGATTTTATATGATAAAACTGTATTACTAAACCTAAGGAACCAGTTAATATATTAGATATAAGTAAATAATATAGATAATATATATATAATATAGATAATGTATAATATATATAATATATATAATATATAATATAGATAATATATTAGATATAAATTATCTATGTATATTAAGTACTTGTATAAAACAGATTATATCACTGCATTCTATATCTGTTCTCCTTTATGTAGGTAGGTATAGGTTTATGTCATTTTCAAAGGCACACAAACATTGACATGGAATTAAAAGTACAAAAAGAGAATGCAGGGAAGGGTGGTAGGGCTGGAATAATCTGGGCTCTGGAATCAGGCTCCCCAGATTTCAACTCTGTCTTCTACCACTACTTATGTCACTGTGTCACTAGTTGTGAGGCCTGTGCAACTCTGTGCTCTTAACTATAAAATGGAAATAGTAATATTACTTACTCACCCAATGGTCTTGAGAACCAATGCTCTTGAAGGTCAAATGGGGCTTGTTGGTCTGCCACTTACTGCAGCTGGCTGGTACTTACTGCTTCCTTGAAATAAATGTAAGGGCAGTATGGACATGGACATTCAGGTGGTTATGCAGGGGACATTTCATCTAATGGCCCCAACAGGGAGGAGTGGCTGACTGAATGCCTTTACCTCCATCCTCTTGATGCTGGGACGATTCCAAACCCAATGTGTTCTTCCAGAGCTCTACAGCCATTAGCAAGACTGAGGCCCCTTGACCTCCACCATCCCTAACATAGCCATGGTTCTCACCATCAGCCTCACCACTATCACCTCCATTTCCATAACCATCATCTCCACACCACTTTACAGTTAACATCATCCCCATCATGTCATCATCACTACCACTCCCTGGGGAAAATGGGATAGGTCAGTGTACCAGACCTGTTGTGATGGCCACTGATCACAATAAGTCTAACCCTGCATCCCAGGCTGAACTAATTCCAGATGAGTCTGGCTGAGTTCCTCACAGTCTCTGATATCCAAACTCCCTCTTCATCCCACAGGGTGATCAGTTTCGGTGAGACAGCAGCAGCAGATGCTGCTCTTGGTTACATCATTGCCTTCCTGGTACTCCTGTCCACAGTGAAGCTTTGGCATCTGCTCAGGCTGAACCCCAAAATGAACATGATCACATCAGCCCTGTGCCGTGCCTGGGGGGACATTTCAGGCTTTATCACTGTCATCCTGATTATGCTCTTGGCTTACTCCATTACGGTGAGTAGCTCCTTTGGGAAACCCTCAGGGCTGGTCTTCCTGGAAGCCAAGAGTTTCCAGTGGTGTGGAATAAGGGGGGTAAGGTTAGGAAGGTCCTGGGAGCTTAGCGAGATGGTGGACTTTCTGAGACCAAGGTCTTTTACCTGGATGCTCATAAGCCAGTCGCTCCAAATAGACTTGAGAACTCAGTGAGGGTCAAAACTGTCCCCAGAAAAGACTCCTTTTCTGCATCCAGATATTGCCTTCGTATGCCTGACAGCTCAACAGCCTCAGGCACGCAGAGAGAGTGTTGGGTTATGTGGAGAGGTCCTGGGTGGGGCAGAAGTGGGGAAGTAAGGGTGGAAGTTAGTAGGAACAAAATCATTCCACTCAGTTCCTTAACACTGACAATTTTCTGATAATCACATCTCTCTTGTGACTGAAGAAAATATGAACTATCAACTCTTTTTATTATCAAGCAATGTAAAACAAAAACCACCTGCTACACTCCTGACCTCCATTTAATAGGCCTGTATCCTCTCCATGATTCTTGTAACAGCCCTGGCCCTGGTCTTCTGTGCCCCTTCAGCCCAGTCAAGATCCACTACCAAACCAACCCTTATCCCCATTCTCGCCCCAGACCCATTTTGCTCCCATCTCCCACCACGCCCCTAATCCCAAGCCATTCACTAGCCCATCTGACTGTAGTCCTCACTCCATCTCTCATCCTCTCCCCACACCTCTCCTTTCCTTGTTCCTGACTTTCATCTCATCTATATCCCTGACTCCTCCATTCATCTTCCTCTCTCATGCTCAACAAAAGTGAGGGGCAGTGCTGGTGTGATGGCTGGGAGACGATGCAAAGCTGAAGTCTAGTTTTGTCCAATATCCTCATCACCTGCATGCATTCAGTTCCTCATTGGCCCATGAACTGCAGGGCACTTCCTCTGGGGCCAGAAGTGACATACTCACACAAAATAACCCTTGGAGAATTAGGGTGTTGTACAGAGAAGGCCCTGCCCACACATAAGCCTGTTGTGCATCCAGCCCAACTCCCTGAAGCCAACAGGCAGGGCCCAGAGAGCCCAGTTCCCACCCCCAACCCCCACCTCCAGTGGCCATTTAGGTGAACATGGTCTAGTCAGAGGCACTTGGGCCCCCTAAAGGGGACTGAGCACCCTCTCTGTGCTGGGAGACAGAGAGAAGGGCATCAACAGATGGTGAACAATAGCAAAAGGCCTAGACAAGCTGGGCATACAGGATTTCCAAAGCACACAGCAAACATTAACACACACACTCTTACATAGGGTCGCATGTATGCCTTGCACATGCTCACAGAGACACACACACCCACTTGCACACCCCTGTGTATGCAGACAGCTTGGCCAAGCCAGGCCAAGGTTATGGCTCACCCAGACACCAATGCTGCTCTCTAACAACAGGCTTTGGAGGGTGGATGATTTTTTTCCCCCCCTGCTAACAAGACTCTTTCCATTACAGTCAAACCTAGTATTTGGTTGGAAACTCCGTTCCTACAAAACCCTCCTTGATGCGGCAGAAACAATGATCAGTCTTCAGTTAGGCATCTTCAACTATGAGGAGGTAATGGAGAGGGGGCCCTGAATGCTGCCATCGGCACCAGTCTTAGTGACATTTAGAGAAAGCACCCCTCAGAGGCTCCACAATGGATGCCACCATGCAGGGCCTGGCAAGAACAGAGCAACTTCGGACAAACTGAAAGTTCTTGTTCCTCTGAAGCCTGTAGCTCACCTCGGAGACCCCTGCTTACAAAAGAACGTTAGTGGCTATAGTGGCTACTAAGGGGAGGGCTGTGCTGGTGTGTGTGTGGGGGGGGGGTGTCTGGAAGGGAATACTCCCACCCAAGCCAGAAATGCTGTCCCTGTTTGGAAGTGGTGGCAGTGGGGAGTGAGGGTGTTGTCCTTTTCTCTACAGGTAGCTGGAGTGCACTGCTCTCAGCCTCCAGACAGGGGGAGACCCCCCCTGGCTCCTGGCTCTCCTAGCCCCGAGGACCATGATTTCCTCCACGATTCCTCCGAGGGAGCCTCTATGGGGAGGTGGCCGCTAGGACACAGGAGCCCGGGGATGATACTGGCTCTCTTCCTGACAGGTCCTGGACTCCAGCCCAGTGCTTGGCTCTTTTCTCATTGGGTCCTGCATCATTTTCATGACGTTTGTGGTGCTGAATCTGTTTATCTCTGTCATCATGGTAGCTTTCCATGAGGAACAAAAATACTATCTGGTACGTTTCTTTGGTCTATTCTGCAACAGTCACTGACCTTGACCAAGGATGCAACTAGCTGAGCAGCATGAGACTTCAGGGGACTTTAGTTCAAAGCCCTCATTTCATAGGAGGGGAAACAGGCTCAGAAGGAGGAAATTACTTCCCCAACATCACAAGCAAATGAAGGACTGACCTAAATCATAGCCCCCAGTTTCCCAACTCCACAATCTGCTCATTTACACCAACAACTTCCAGCCCTGATTCTACAGTAAGATTTACCTGGAGGCTTTGGGAAACTATTTCTGCTGTACCTGAGACAAATAAGAACAGAATCTCTGGGGTGTGCCAGCCATTAGTATTTCTGAATTCTGCCCTTATGATTTTAATATATAGCCAATGCTGAGACCTGTTTAAGAAATGATTGAAGATGTTATTTAGTGATATCAACAATTAAAGATGAATTTAAATGATTGAAGATGAATTTAGTGATATCAACAAACTTTATTTAATACTTCATGGGGATGCCAGTCTCCACATAAAGAATTGTAAACTAGGGCAGAAGGCAGGAAGCTTTTATAGTATAAAGAATAAAGGAGGGATTGGGAAGCCCAAGGAGATTACAACTGAGATGGAAAAATGCACAAAATGATGTAAAAATAAACTATTATATATATATATGTATATATATATATATATATAAACATAAATTGAGAAAATTGTGAGTAAGGGACTTTTGTCAATGACTTTAAAATGACCGTATATATTCTCAAATATTGAAAAAATTACAAAAAATAAAAAGGAAGAATGTTTAAAAAAAAGAATAAAGGAGGAAGAGAAATATAGAAATATATGATTGTCTGGGGCCACAGAGTCAATCCTGTTTGGGATGAGAATGAACAAGGAAATAAGCACCTAGACTTAGTGTTTGGGGGTTGGCTGATGAACAGACTACATTCCTGTAGTCTGGGACTTGAAAATTATCTAAGTGTCAGATTCAGACATGGTGCTCTGGGTAGGAGTGGCTCCGTCTATAAATTTATTTTGAAAAAGTAATATGGTAACTGGGGTTTAAACTTGGAGGACTGCCAGACTGCTCTCCACAGCAGATATACCATTTGGCATTCCCAGCAGTAATGTATGATGGCCTTTGAGCACAAATTCCTAGCATGCTCTCTGGGGGATAATGGAGGGGAATGGTGAAGAGTTTGTGGACATTCTCATAGGAGGGGGAAAAGGAATCCCTGGAGATAAATGCTGAGCACACACCCTTGGAACTCTCAAAAGAAGGTGAATTCCAATGCAAAAGCCTTTCTCCACAAGTAAAAAAGCAAACTGGACAAAAAAAAAACTTAGAAAAGCCCCCAAGGAGGACTGTTCTGTCTATGTCACAGGTTCTTTCTCCCTTTGCAGCTGACAGAGGAAGAAGAGATCGCTGACTTCTTGCTGATGAAAATACTCAGCTTCCTGGGCATTAAATGTAAAGGAGGACAGGAGCTTGGAAGCAGCAGTGAGCATTCAGGGTTGCTGTCAGAGGCCCAGCCCCTGAATGCTGCACCAACAGGCCTCTGGGCCTGAGTGGTTCTGTTACAGGGCACCCTAATGTGAACTGGGTTGCCTGTCTGTGGGTCCTCACCTGCACTTAAGATTCAATCATACTGTGGACGCACACAAAAAGGTTCAATAATGGATTTATTTACAAGGAGAAAGGTAAAGGAACAACCCAGGGAAAGAGGGAGAGAAATACAAGTTAACTAGAATACAAGTTAACTAGCAGTTCTGCTAACTTGGACTCCAAACAGCACGCTGAAAACCAACCGACAGCCAAATGACCAGCCGTGAACCACCAGGCCAAGAGACCCCCAGAGCCCATATGTCCGGTTTTATCCTAACCTGGCCGCTCAGCTCCGCCCTCATGTCCCAGTGTGCTTCTCCTTGTTATTGATGGGATTAGTAGTTCCAGTATCTGGAGTGGGGGCGGAGTCCATGAAACCTGTACCCATTACAGTTCATCACCTGGAGTGGGGGAAGGCCAGCCATTCAAGCCTCCCTTTACTAGCTATTCTATAGTCTCTCCAGAGCAATGGTTTTTTGTGTCTATCCAAGAGGTACTAAGTCTGGCAAATAAAATAATAAAAATACTGACAGTAGCTACTATTGCAATTGACTACTTGTCAATGTATTTTCTCCTAGAAATAAAACTAGTATTGTCTGGAGTTCCGAACAACAATAATGACAAAAACCCAACTCCTCTGCAAACTACTCATTTCATTTTCAGGGTCAGTTAGAGGTTGCCTTTGAATGACTCCAGCTCAGGTTCTCTCAAACTGTGTCTGAGAGATGGTATTGGGTGTATTAGTTTCCTAGGGTTGCTAGACAAAGCACCAGGTGCTTAAAACAGAAATTTGTGGTCTCACAGTCTGGAAGACAGCAATCACAAATGAACAGGGTCACACCCCCTCTGAAGATTCTGGAGAAGAATCTACTTTTCCGGCTTCTAGTGTTTGCCAGTGATCTTTAATGTCCCTTAGGTTTTAGATGCATCACTAATTTCTGCTTCTGTTGCCACATGTCTTCTTCCTAGTATACCTAATTCTGTGTCTCTTTTCTTCTTTTTATAAGGACACTAGTTACATTGGATTAGGGTCCATCCTATTCCACTATGACCATATCTTAGCTAATGAGGTTACAGGGCAAGCCTAAAAGGCAATGGGATGGCCTGGGTGTCTGTCCTTACCGTGCACTTAAAAAAACACTTAGAATGAGGCCCAACCACGACACACACAGAATGAGACCCAACCACGACACACATAGATGGTTAATAACAGGTTTATTTACAAAGGGAATGAAATGAGGGGAACCTAAGAGAGAAACTAATTGGTGAATGTGTCCCACCAGTAACATTGTCTGAGCTGGGACCCCAAGAGCACAATGAAGGCAGGGAAAAAAACCAAGGCTGCACAGGCCCATATGCTTTGGTTATACACCAAGAAGGCAGCTTAACTCCACCTTAGTTCCCAGCAATCTCCCCTTCAGGGAGTCAAGAGTCATGGCAGGTCCACAACACGATGGGACTTATAATCCAAGGCCCCAGGGACTGGACTGGAGGTGCAGAGAAGTTCATAAAACAGCAGGTAGAGTTCAGTCAGGACATGTACTTCCTCTAACAATTATATTTGCAAAAACGCTAGTTCCAGGCCCTCCCTGATGGTGCAGCGGGTTAAAGCACTGCACTAAGCTTAAGCCACTTCCTCATGAGTTTGATCCCCGCCTGCCCTGGAGGAGATCCACATGGCGTGGCAGACCTCCCCTGACCCACCTGCTGCTCCCCTCAGCAATGTACTTCGTCGATCTGCCTGTTCTGCTCCCCACTCTGTCTCTGGTGAATCCTCTCACCCTCCGCATCTCTAGTCTGTACCACAGTTCTGTATGAATAAATAAATAAATCTTTAAAAAAAAACAAAAAACAAAAAACACCCTAGTTCCAAATTTAGTCACAATGGGGGATTAGAATTTCAATGTACTTCTTTCTGGGGAGGTTTATTATTTTTAATGCATCTCTTTGAGAGGCATAATTCAACTTATAACAAGTAGCATCCCTCCCACCCCCAATATTTCAGGATTAAATAAATGCAGGAAAAAAACTGGATTGTAAGAGGTTATTCAGCTTCCTTAGCGCTGGGAATTAGCACAGCTTTTAATATACCACATGTGCAAATGTATCTGTTTCCTGAGGGAGAAGGAGCTTGAGAGACGAAGTACAAAGCCCCAAATTTCTTTAACCAAGAATCTGGCAGCTCCATCAATACTTGTGTTACCAGAGTCCAGCCACCTCAGGTGCTGGGGCTGTTAAGGGGGAAGGGTATCCAGCAGGAGCAGTGGGATTCTTCCAACCTGCTGCTCCACAAGTTGGTTGTGGCAGTTGCTCCTCAGAGACCTTTTATGTAACAGCTCACTTCCCGGATTGTAGAATGGACCAATCACATACTATGGGCTGATTAGTAAATGGTCCAATCAGCCACAGGATTGAAAAATGGTCCAATCAGATTTGTGTGTGGGGTCACCCTAAAAAAGTATATAAGCCAGGGTTGGAGAGCTAAGAAACAGATGATACCATCTCCTGAAGAAGAGGATGCCAGCTCCAAAGAGAAGAGCCACTGACACCAGCCCTTGAAGAAAAGACAGCCTTCGAAGGGAGGAGAAAGAAGGAGAAGACTCCTCCGTTCCTGCCCTCTGAAGAAAGAGGAAAATAAGCATCCAGCAGCTGACCTCCAAGGAGGGAAGAGAAGTCAAAGACCTCTGTCACTTACTGGGCATCCAGTCCTGTCTCTGACATCACCTGAAAGAGGTAACAATGGCCCTGGGTCCAGTGTCTCAAAGAGCTGTTTGTTTTTGGTATAACCCAACTCACAAAGAGCTGTTAACACTGGGAGTCTCTTACACGGTCTCTGAGGGACCGGTAGTGGCCATCACTCCTGGCCAGTAATGTCCAGCACTCCTGGTGACTGGTGGCGACACTATCTGGGTAAGATAGCCGCCAATTGTGGATACAGTGACCTCTTTGTTTCCCATTTGTAAAATAAGCCCCATGGTTATTCCTGGAGCCTGAAGTCTTGCAACAGTGCACACTGGTGAGAACCCATAGCCAGTGACCTGTCTTCTTAAAGGGCAATGTCCTTTGCTAGGCTGTAGCCCATAGGCGCTACTGTGTGGGTATTGTATTGCTATCACCCTTGTTTTTGATTTTTGGCCTTTTGCCTTTTGGGGCTTTTGGTGGCTCTTTGATCTCAGAGACTGGGCAACTGGGTGGCCGTTCCATCCTTCCATCTGGCATCCTGCCTTGTTGCCCTGTTTTCCTGTGAGCCCATGTCACCAGTACACCTTAGATGACACTTAGATGAACTGTGGATCTACATTACTGCTGTATGTTGGAATCCTGATTTTATTCCAAAACATCAAAATACTGGGCTACGAACCAGGATGCAGTATTTAAAAAAAAAAAAAATTAAAGATGTATTTATTTATGCATACAGAACTGGGGTACAGGCCAGAGGTGTGGGGGTGAGAGGAATCACCAGAGACAGAGTGGGGAGCAGAACAGGCAGACTGATGAAGTACACTGCTGAGGGGAGCAGCGAGCAAGACAGGAGAGGTCTGCCATGCCATGTGGGTCACCTCCCTGGCCAGGGATCAAACTCATATTGCAGTGGCTGTGATAGCTTCATAGTGCTGTGTTTTAACCCACTGCGCCACCAGGGAGGACGGTGCAGTATTTTTTAAGGCTTGCAGGTGATTCCCTTGTGAGTGTAACAATGCTCTGAAGATAACAGAAAGCCTCTCGGTATCTGGGGCATAGACCTTTTCCTTCCAGTATGCAGAGCATGCCTCCTCCTCAAACGATCTGGAAGCAGATACTTTGGGTTGCCTCCCAAGTCTATCCCATGCTTCTGTCCTTGCTGTCAGAGGATCTCAACTTTATTCAAGTAGCCCTCTCCCAGTGACTCAAAGGAAGGTGACCCTGAAGCCAAGGAGGTAATTCATTTTTTTTTAGTCATGGTAATCCATTTCCCTTGACAATAAGTAGCGTAGGGTGGCAATGTGACCCAGTTTTAGCAAATTTCCTGGGAAGATCTCCTTGTTCATGAAAGCACACAGAGCTATAGTCTATGCTGCTGGACATTACCTGACCTGAGAAAGAATCCTATAACTATGCCAGGCAGTAGACAGGGTCTGGAGAGTCTCAGGAAATATGTGATACTGGACATTAAGTCAGGCTGAAGCTGACCAAATCACTACAGAGTAGCATTTTCTCCACTGGACCAGCAGGGCAAGGTCCCATACCGATAGTGACCTACTGTTCCTATCTCTAAGAAGTATGTATCTGTCAATACATACTTTGGATGGATGAAACAGTTTTCAGCACTAAAAAACCCTTTTGGCTAACTACTCTCCAGGCTAAAGGTATAGATTCCATCATGGAAAGGTCACAGGCACAAGGAGATCACAGTTCAAGAGATGGTATTAACTGTTGTTAAAAAAACAAACTCCAAAAGTCATTTTGGAGTCATTCATGTGGGCGAGGAGAGCATGAAGACTTAATAACTAATCTAATTGTTGTTTCACTTTCACCTGAAGGTGGATTCTAAACCAATCCAAGTTTTCTTGGTCAGCATCAGTGAGGTCATCTGCATAAGCCCCCAGCCTTTCCCTGAGAGACCACAACTTTACCTATAAGAAGCTTTCTTTCCCCAAACAGCCAGACCCACCCTCTAGCTGTGTTTAAAAACCTTGCCCAGCCTTTCTACTTGCTGAAGGTCACGTGCTGAATTCATGTTGTTTAATAAAGCTAATGATATCTACAAACTTATTTGGATGAGTTGAGTGTTTTTTTTTTTAACATGGTAAATAAAGACAACTCTTTGTGTAACAGGGTGGTCCCTAGGAAAAAGGGAAGTTCCAGGTTCCCTGCCCCACCCAGAAGGAGGGTGGAGCTGAGAAGAGAAGGGAAAAGAAGAGAAGGAAGCCGAATGGAGAGCCAGAAGACCTGAGGAAGCCACATGGAGCAGCAACAGTGCTTGTTTCCTGACCCTTGACTGGTTAAAGCAGATGTGGGTGAGATACCTGTAGGGAGGTGACTATGGCAGAATTTTACTGATTTTGCTTTTGTTCTTTTCCTCCCAGATTTGTCAGGCCATTTCTGACCCTTTTCCATGGGTCCTGGCCAGAAGGTGCTTTAGTCTTGGGGCAGGCTTTCAGGCCTTGCTTTGGGCCAATCCCTTTTGGATTGACTTTTGCCCACGAGGGGATGGGTAACTTCAGGTGTTTGATTTAGAAGTTATATTCTTTGTGTTCTGTATTGTATATTCACTGTATTAAAGTCCCTTTTCATTAAAGTTTTATATGTTTTGTCTTATTGTGGTGGATGGCAGAACCCACTTAGAGCAGGCAGGATTTTGGGGCTTCAGGGTTGTCCCTCTCCCCCTGTCCTCTAACAGAATTGAGGTGCCCTATAACATTTGGATCATATTGTTAGGTGAGAAATTTTATACATATATATCAGTATATATATATATATATATATATATATACATATCTATATATCAGTTCAAAGAGATGAAATGGGCCCCTTCTAAGATAAAAAAAGAAAAAAACTGCAGTTTTCAGGTTCCTGTACCAAATATGCAATGAAATGACCTTTCAATCTCAGCAATGGGTACAAAGATTTTTATAAAAACAAGAATTTCTGATTATCCACAGTGTTTGCTAGATATTAAAAAAAAAGTAATACTCTTCCTATTTTTTTGGTGGTATTGGGAAGAGCAGGCAATTTCTCCATTCACTCTAGTTTCTTCTAGGGTAGCAAATATTCAAGTTAACATGAGACATACTGACAAGAGTAAAGAAAACAAAAGTTTAATAGTAACATGTAAATCTCTTGCATACATGGGAGAAACTCAGTAAAAGTAAGAAATTCAGTAAAACAGCTTAAGTTAGCGCCTTAAACAACTTCAGTCAAAGACAAAGTATACTGCAGAGAGAAGGTCAGTTACTAAAAAAGCAAAGTAAACAGGGCGACTGTTAGGCAGATTAAGTTGTTACCTTCTCCATTGTTAGTCTTCCAGGTAGTGAGGGAGACACCCTCACAAAGGAAGGACTTCTTTCACACGTGCAAATGTCCCCGACAAAAGGGCAACCTCCACTCAGCTTTCAGAGCTGATCATGCCATAGAGACATAATCATTATGCCACAGAGATATATTTTGGGGGGAGTAGTGTTTGTTCCCCTACTGAAGAAGAATGTGCAATACAACCCACACACTGATTATGTGATCTTTTCCTTTCTATCAAATGAGTAGCAAGTGGGATTGGGAATAGATATTTTAGGACATGGTTTGCATTATGATGCACCAACTTGTAAAAAACAAAAACAAAACCCACAACAATAAAAATAGAATTTTGACATAGGAGCTAGCCAAGATCTGAAGCCTAGAGGTGGTGACTGTGAGTCAATCACCACCCTAAAAAGAGGCAAGGAGAACAGAGCTTCAGAACTGTAGGTTGCTAGTCAGACTAAAGGTCAGGTCCCGCTACAACTATCTCAGAGCTACTTAAGATATAAACGCCGCCCCATGCCAATCCTGGGCAAGCTAGCAAACCTTCCTGAGCCTCCAGAGCCTTGTCCTTGAGGAATGTAACAGCTACCAAAAAGGAGAAGACTGAAGAGAGAATTTCTGTTTACTCAACAAGGACTCCTAAATGATTATCTGCTCATTGCAAAATGGCATGACAGTCCTTGCAAGTCATTCGAGATGTGCTGACAATTCCAATTTATAAGTGGGGCAGAAGCTTGGTGCAACAACTTATTAATCTCTCTCTCACCTCACACACACACACACACACTCACACAGAAACAAGGGGTCAATCCTACAATACTGGAGGTGTGTTTTTCACTCTAGTTTGCTGATTCATGCCCACTGTTAAAGGTCAGGTCATTCTGGAGATGTGTCTTCTGAGACTCTCATAAGGCCTCAATCACTGGCTTATGTAAGCATAAACAAAGGAACTGACCATGCTGTGTCTTAACTCCTCCTTTTGATTGCTTTGCCCTTAGCTGACTGGCTACTGGTCATCACGACCACTGGGTAAGTCCCTGCCCCTCTAAGAGTTTCATAACCCCTGTGGAGGTTTTTGTGCTTCTTGGGATCTGTAAAGTGGGTTCCTGGATTGTTTTCAGTATTTTTTTTTTAAGGACTCATTTATTTATGCATACAAGAACTGGGATATATACCAGAGGTGGGGGGAAGGAGACGATTCATAAGAGACAGAATGGGGAGCAAAATAGGCAAACTGTCTGAGATACATTGCTGAGGGGAACAGCAGGCAAGACAAAAGTTCTGCTGCAACATATGGGTCAGCTCGCTGGAAGGGGATCATACTCGTGCTGCAGTGATTGCAGCTTCACAGTGCTGAGACTTAACCCCATGCGCCGCCAGGGAGGCCCTGTTTCCAGTCAAAGAGAAACTGCTTAAGTCTCGGTGCTCCTCTGGTCAATACCCAACCAGTGTTTCGGCTGGAATAATTGAACCTGGCCACGAATCCCGAATTCCGTTCTGACCTTGAGCCTCGGTGGAGGATAGGACAGCATCCTTTAATAGTACTGGGGGCACCGTGCCTTACCTGGGAACCTAGGGCCCAATAGCAGGTGAATGCACTGTCCCTGAAGTGTCACGCCTTTGGAGACCTTCTCATCACGCAAACGAAAGGCAGGGCCCACAGTTATGAACCAGAGCTTTCATTCACCAGGAAGCGGGGCCCAGACACATGGCTCCGCCCCCTACCAGTAGCTCCATCCCATCCCATCCCGCCCCGCCCCTTGTGCACAGCCCCTTCCGTGTGTCACGCCCTTCACTTATCCACGCCCCTCCCGCACGCCACCCTATCCGAGGTCGCGTGTGGCCTGCAATGCCCGCCCCCTGCTCGCGGTCCCAACAGGCCCCGCCCCTCCTGGGGCAGCCCGGCGCTCCGGTCCGGCCGGCTCGCTCCGGCTCGCTCCGGTCCGGGGCCGCCCCCCGCCCCGCCCCGTCCCGCTCCCGCTGGCCGGGGTGTCGGAGGTGCTGCGCTGACAACCCCGCAACCTGCGAACATGGCGCTGCGAGCAGCGCTGAGCTTGCGGGCCGCGGCCTGCAGCCTGCGCGCCTCCTTGACGCCCATCGCGCCCTACCGGCCGCGGCCCTGGGGCATGCAAGCGGGCGCCGTCCGAACGCTGCGCACAGGCTTTGCTCAACTCTCCGGTAAGCGCGAGCGGGCACGTGGGCCGAGCCGTGCCGCCTTGGGTCAGGGTGGGGGCGCCCTCCACTTCGCTCCTCACCTTTCGTTCCTGTTCCCAGCCGGGCGAATCCCTGTCGGCGCTTCTTTTTATTGCGGGACCCCATTCGCGTGCCGCTGCTCCTTGCAGGTGGCGCGGACCACATCGAGCCTTTGTCCTGAACTTGGGGGCCCAGGGTAGGGGCCTGGGCGCGGGGCAGCGGGAGCCTCGGCCACTGGTTCCTGCAACCGGGACTGCCTTAGCTTCTCGCGCGTATGTGTAGCGTGGACCCTGGAAGTGGAGACAAGTAATAAAATTGAGTTTAATGAATGGACCATTAATGAGAACGCTAGAGAAAATTTAAAGCAAGATTATTTACTGAAATTGAAGCACCGGATCCAGACTTTACTACCTACAGCGATCATAACTTAGAGACGCACCTGTTTCCTAAGAAACAGTGAAGGATAAAGTCTTCTACTACAGATGATGTTCTGAAGTCTACATTGACTCGTGGATGTCTTGGGGACGAAGGGAGGCCTGACTTAAATGGAAGAAATAACCGGGAGACCTGCTCCATAAATGCCTTAGCCATCTGTACCAGGGGAAAGTATTTGTCAAATCTAAGAATTTAATTTCAAGTCTACTTTTTTGATTATCCATTGCTGGCTCTTTGCATTTTTCAGTTAAAATTGCCCAACGTATGATACCCATGATCTGATTGAAGCACCCTTTTTTAATAGCAATTCCAATTGTGGTTCTACCTCTGTGACCTTGGTAGTCACTTAAGTCTCCAACTCGGCTTCCCTCACGAGAAAAATTGTAATTTTATTATAATTCACAGTTGCTGGATGAAATGAAATAATGTAAATGGAGTACACATTGTCTGACACATTGTAAATACTTGGTAAATGCTGTTATTAATGTTAGTGTATAAAATAAAACATGACTGATATTAATATAACTTATATTTTTTCTGACCCGTGACTTTGGAAGGATAACCCAAATTTTTCATAAATCAAAACACCTAATTTTCTAAGGCCAAATCCCATGTCTTTTGAGGCTCAGTAAAAATGTAATTATTTACCAACTCTGTCCCACTATTTAACTTTTGGGCCAAGGGTTAAAGGAGCATTCTACTGATGATTGTCTTTAGCATAAACAGCATGGCCTAGTAAAAAAAAAAAAAAAAAAAGTAACTTGTGGAGTTTGAAGTCAAGCTGTCCTGGGTGCATTCAGCTAAGGTAAAGTTGCTGCCTTTCCCTCTATAAACTTGGAGCTGCTCAGCTACTGAATTGGCAACCTTACTCGAAAGATTAAACATTAGATAACATGGCAAGGCCAATGTCAACATAATATATTGTCTCAGAGAAGTCATATTTAATTTTCCAGTCCTTACTTTAAAAAGGTGTATTTTGATTTAAACTGCTCATAATTGCTAATTCTATTTTAGAGCTGTAATAGAATGAATGATAGGAAGAACTAAGCTGTAGCCAAATAACTATTATCTACTACCCTTTCACTTGACTAAACTTTTTTTTTTTTTAAGATTTATTTATTTATGCATACAGAACTGAGGTACAGGTCAGAGGAACAGGGGTGGTGAGAAGAATCACCAGAGACAGTGGGGAGCAGAACAGGCAGATCCAAGTGGTACACTGCTGAGGGAACAGCAGGCAAGACAGGAGAGGTCTTCTGTGCCCTGTGGATCACCTCTGGGCGGGATTGAACATTCAGTGAAGTGGCTGTGGCATCCATAGTGCTGCACTTTAACCAGCTGTGCCCCCAGGGAGGGCCATTGACTAGTTTTAACATTAAGGTTTAGTGACCCTGCTCTTGCTTGCTTTATATTTAACAGTCTACATATGTATATAATATAGACCACATATGTATATACCAGGTTGTATCTGTGATGTGTTAAGTGTCTTTAAAATGTTGACTCAGGATGGAAGTGTAGTGCTGTGGGAGCAGCTGAATGCCTGTGAGGCTTCCTGCAGGGTAGAGCTTCTAAGCTGAAGTATGAATACCTCAAGGCAAGGCAGTACAGAAAACTTAGCTTTTCCTGTAGAAAGGTCAGGTTCACCTGAAGCATTTTATATTGAAATGGAATGAAGCAAAACAAGTTTCTTTGTGACAGATTTCACAACTTCTACCAGAATATGAAATTAAGAAAGTTTCTTAAAGACTGGGGGGGAGAAAAATGTAATAAATTATACTCCTTCAGTCTGTATATTAGAGTGATATAATCTAATCAATTTAAGCTGTTTTAAGTATAACTATCTTTTGGGTGTGAGTGAACCAGCAAGACCAACTCTAAAACAGCATGTGAATTAATGAACATTTTCCCTTAACTTCTGATACTTCATTTTTGGAAAAAATACTTAAGAATATATTTAAGGAGGGGCTCTCCCTGGGGATGCAGGGGATTTCAGTGCAGCACTATGAAGCTATTTGCAGCCACTATGGCAAGCGTTGGATCCGCAGTTAGAGAGGTGACCCTTATGGCACAACTGACCTCCCATCTTGCCCACTGCTCCCCTCAGCAGTGTATTTCAGTTGATCTGCCTGTTCTGCTGTTCTGCTCTCCACTCTTATCTCTGGTGAATCCTCTTGCCTCCCTCACTTCTGGCCTGTATTCCAGTTCTTGTATGCATATATAAATAAATCTATAATATATATATATGTATATATATGTATATATGTATGTATGTATACACACACACACTTAAGGAGATGGCATATACTTTAAAAAGCTTAGTCTTCAAAGCAAGTACCTTTAACATTAAAGCCTAAATACTTTCCATCAGTTATGGCCAGGTTCTAAGGAGACTCTTGAATGAGGATTTTGAATGATAGCCCATTTTCTTCAAGGACAGGCTTCAGGTCCATTAAAGTGGAATTTTAAGAAATCAGTCAAGTTTTAATTTTCCAGGTTAATTTAATTTTCCAGGTTAATTCCGAGTCTCATTGAAGCCTTAGGTCAACTCTACCCAAGGAGGCACTGTTTTGTTTTGTTTTATTTTAGTTAAATCATTTATAAGCTGTCTTTATGCGGCCTTCAGAACTTTATTGCTCCATTATCTTTTTGAGGAACAGAAATTTATATTTGAAATGTGTGCCAAGGTATTTTCTGTGGTTTAGACTAAATAAGACCAGATAACTATCTTTTCCAAAGATGCACAAGGTCTTTACATCAAGCCGAAATGACACCACTACTGAGAAGTTGCATTACCTTTTCACACGACCTGTTCTGTACTAGATGGAATACTACTGCAAGGCAATATCAATAAGGCAAACATAAATACTGGGAAAGTCTTTTGATAGTGCTGATATGAAAGGTGCTTTTAAACAAATGATGCCACTGCTTTTCTGAAATACTGGTCTTCTATTTTAGTGCGTAAATTCACAGACAAACATGAATGGATAACAACAGAAAATGGTATTGGAACAGTGGGAATCAGCAATTTTGCACAGGTATTGGACTGTCTTGAAATATTTGTCTTCCACCTAAATGGGGTCTGTACCTCTTAGAAATTGTTTACTATTCCCCTTAGTATTTCAGGCTTTTGAGGTTCTTTTTAAAATATCAGTCATAGTTGAATTTAAAAAAACAAACCAACACTTTAGTTAGGGCAATGTGTAGTATTTTAAGAAATACTGAAAGATTGACACTTAAAATCAAAGCAGTAACGACATCTTCTTACTCAAGGAAAATGTGCCTTTTCATATTGGGACCACTAAGGGCAGAACACGCAAAAAAATGGTGTGGTGTGACAGTGTTTTTGGGTGCAGTGTCATACATGCTACCAGTGGCTGACACTTGCTACACACAGGGAAACCTTTTATTTAGCTTTTGTGTTTTTCTATTCTCCTATTTCTATTGATCCTATATCGAGATATTATAGAAGAGAAATGAGAAGCCAAAGAACAGCATGGGTTAGTGATTTTGAACTGGATTTGCGTGTGAAGTAGGGCAGGAGGAAGAGTGGGGTGCCAACTTGGGGGGGGGTTGTGCATGAATCTTCAGAAATCTTGGAAGCTCAGATAGTGAGAATTGTTGACAGTTTATCTTCATGGGCATATTTGTGCTCCAACTGAGGCTCAGTAGAGGATACTTTGTGAAATATCGTTGAAGGTGTTGGAAAAGGACACACAAAGTGTAGCATGATGGATGGATGAGCTGAGTGGTGCAAGTTGTTGTCATCACCTGGTGGTGATCACCTATTGAGGTCAAGTCTTCGAGGCGCACAGGCATGAGGACTGTGATTTACAAACCAGTGGATAGGATTTCAACAAATGCAGTAGGGAAGATGATGACTTACTAAAACTGCATGGATGGAAATGCAAAAGTGCATTTGTTCTTAGAGAAGCTAAAAGTATTGGGGGTGGGTGGGGGGGAGGGTGTATGGGTCATGGCAGGGCTCACTACTGCTCATGGGCTATTCAGCAGGTGGCCTGTTTTGTGGCCATCTGCATGCAGAACAGTTTGGTTTGTTTTGTTTTTTTTTTTAATGTTATAAGAAAAACCCAAGAATGTGGCCTCTCAAGTGTAAAATATTTACTATTTGAATTTAGGGGATTCAGTGTTTGGCTTGATCCTGTTTCTAGGAGATTTGATCTTTTAGAAGTTTTTTGTTTGTTTTGGTTTTGTTTCTGTAGGAAGCTTTGGGAGATGTTGTTTACTGTAGTCTTCCTGAAGTTGGGACAAAATTGAACAAACAAGGTAAGTATTCTTCCTATCTTTGTATGTCATGATTCATACCATTAGTTTTTTTTTACCTACTCTGTGCCTTGGATAACGATTTATTTACATAGTCAGAGTGCTTTTACTCATGTAATAGAAAGTTGAAATAAAAGTAGATTAAGTAGGGGCTTATCATATCTCACACAGTCGGAAGATAGTTGGATATAGGGTTGGTTCAGTGAAGGTCAACAATGGCAACCTCTAGGTACTTTTTCTGCCTCATATAGAGGCAAAATGGCAGCAAAATTTTCAAGCATCACATTCTCAAGTGACAGTATCCAAAAGTAGACAAGAGCTCTCTCTTTGGGAGCTAGCTTTATAAATGGTTAATTCTCATTCACATTAACTATAGATTTTTTTTTTTTAAAGATTTATTTATTTATTCATACAGAACTGGGGTACAGGCCAGAGATACGGAGGGTGAGCGGATTCACCAGAGACAGAGCGGGAAGCAGAACAGGCAGATCGATGAAGTACACTGCTTAGGGGAGCAGCGGGCGGGTCAGGAGAGGTCTGCCACGCCATGTGGTCACCTCCGGGGCAGGCGGGGATCGAACTCATGCAGAAGTGGCTTTAGTTTCTCAGTGCTGTGCTTTAACCCGCTGCGCCACCAGGGAGGGCCAACTATAGATTTTTTAAAGTGGTGGCAGATAACTGATACATAGAGCTTATTTGGTGGCTGTTCATTCACATTATATTTCCTTATTCCTTTGGCCCAGACAGCTTTGTTGAGGCAGGCTCTCTTCTTTGTCTAATAGCTTGTTAGCCAGATTTGGGTTTATTGCTACTCCTAGCTGCAAGGAGTACAGTGGAAGGAGAATAACTAGCTTTTTCATACCTTATAATAGAGGAAAATGGCCCTTAGCACCCTGCTTCCCACCACAAACATATATACACATTGATACAGTGTCAGATGAGGTCTACTGAGTTAAAAAGTATAATCTCCCGTTATTTGGAGGCAGTGAAAAATATCAGGAAGGAGCATGGCTTCATGTTCAGTGTCAAAATCTGGATAATTATGATAGCTATCTCATACAGTTCTTGTAAAGATTGGATGAAATTAACATTGTTTTTTTAATTGCTCAGTGAGATTTGACAAAACATAGTGCCCAGCAAAAATTTAGTGCTTGATGAAAGTGAGCCAGTAGTGCCAGGTGAGTTATATTCATGAGTTCCTTGACATATATGAAACTGTCTTACACAATTTCAGTTTCTGTTTTCAGAGTTATCTCTGACAGTACTGGTGATATCTTTTCCATCTTTAACTTTCCTCCCCATTCCTCCACACCATCATTTTCTTCTTTGAACTTTCTCTGCCTCCTGACTTGCAATATCTTGATTGGTCATCATATAATAGATGATCGTCATAGCCCTTTTTTATGAAGATCTTCCTAGAAACCTTTACGGGAGTTATAAGAAGACCCTTGTGATCAATCATCTTTATTTTTCTTTTTCATATACATCACAGAACATAGGTGTTGTGTTGGTTTCTTTCCTCATGTTCTTACTCTCAGGATTGAACCTACATTTGGACGGAAAGAAATTTTATTGATATCAATATGTTGGGTGATAGTCCTCTTGAATGCCCTCTTTAAACATTTTGCTAAAGATTTTTTAATTGATGTAAAATTTACGGACAGTGAAATTCATTTACATGTACAGTTCAGTGAGATTTGACGAATGTATACAATATGTAAACTTTCTTAGTCAAGATCTTTCTTAGATTATTACCATAGATAAATCTTGCTCATTCTTTCACTTCCTCTAAATGGAATCATGTAATACATATAATATGTAGCATGTCTAGCTTTTGTTCAATGTCATAGTTTTGAAATTCATTCATACTGTTGGTGGTCAGGTTCTCACCTGTTGATGGATTTTGCATTGCTACGACTTTTGGGCTACTATGAATAAAGCTACTGTTAACATTTTTTTGGATCCATTATTTTGTGAGAGTATGTCTTCATTTTTCTTGGGTATATACATGCAGATGTGGAATTTCTGGTTCGTGGTATTGGTATTTAACCTTTTTTTTTTTTTTAAGATTTTATTTTATTTATGGGTACACGCCAGAGGAGCAGGGGTGGTGGCAGAGCAGGGAACAGAACAGGAAAATCAATTAATTACACTGTTGAGGGGAGCAGGGGATAGGCAGGATAGTTCTGCCATGCCATGTGGGTCACCTCTCTGGCCAGGGATTGAACAAGCACTGAAGCTGCTGCAGCCAAGCTCCACTGCTGTGTTTTAACCCATTGCGCCACCAGGGAGGGCCCAGTATTTAACTTTTTAAGAAAGTATGCCAAAGTGGTTGTAGTACCTCATGTTCTCACCAGCACTACAAAGTTCCTGGAGCTACAAATTTCACTATGATTTTAATTTTGTATTTCCTTGGTAATAAAATATTAAGCAGCTCTTATGTTTTTCCATTCATATCTTTGTTTTATGAAGTCTCTTCTTAAGTCTTTTACCAAATTTGTTTAGATTCTCTTTCATTGGTTAGAGATTCTTTGTTATGTTTTGTTGTGATTTTTATGGGAATTTTTCCATTTCATTTAGTCAAATTGGACATAAAGATGCTCATTTATCTTTTTTTTTAAAGATTTATTTATTTATGCATACAGAACTGGGGTACAGGCCAGAGGTGCTGGGGCAGTGAAAGGATTCACCAGAGACAGAGTAGGGAGCAGAACAGGCCAACTATGAAGTACACTGCTGAGGGGAGCAGCCGGCGGTTGGGGAGAGAGAGGTCTGCTACGCCATATGGATCACCTCCCGGGCAGGGGATTGAACTCATGCTGAGTGGCTTTAGTTTCTCAGTTCTGTGCTTTAACCTGGTGCGCCACCATGGAGGGCCCTCATTTATCATTTATTATCATTTTATAACCATGGAATCTTTTTCATTCCTTTTTCATTCAGTACTCTTTAGATGAAGCCTGTTGTCAGGGTACAAAGTCTGTTACACATTTGTGGTAATTTGTTTCTTTTCTTGAACAGGCTTTCTAGTTATGTATGAGATACACTAATCTTTTGAAGAAAGCAATTTTAATCTTCAACTGTCTATTTCCAAATAAATTTTGTTTGTAGCTTTGTTTTCTATCTTCAACTTATTCAGATGTAATTTATTTTTCTTTTTTCTAGCTTAAGGTGGAGACTTGGGTTTGGTTTTGTTTTTAGTGGACATTTTTAGTCATACTGTAAAATGTTCTCTTTCTCAAGCCTTAGCCAGAATTTCCTCTGTGCACACATGATTTAGGGATCAATCAGTACCTGGGCAGTTACACACAGAATTTGGGCCTCTCCTTTTTAGTACCCTGTACCTCACTTTCTAATAGCTTTAATGCTCCCACATGCTTGTCTTTTTTCAATGTAGACTGGGATTTTCTTTCAAATTTTGCCTCCCACACTGCAGACTGGTGCCTCTGCTCAGGCAAAAAGTCCTTTAAAACTCACCACTGCCTTTCCTTTTAAATGTCAGCTCTCAGTAAATTTATTTCTTTATTTTTATGTTAGTGTCCTTAAAATCCAGATCCTTGGCCTTCCCTGGTGGCGCAGCGGGTTAAAGCACAGCACTGAGAATCTGAAGCCACTTCCGTATGAGTTCGATTCCCGCCTGCCGCCTGCCCCGGAGGAGACCACATGGCGAGCCAGACCTCTCCTGGCCCGCCCGCTGCTCCCCTCAGCAGTGTACTTCGTCGATCTGCCTGTTCTGCTCCCCACTCTGTCTCTGGTGAAGCCTCTCACCGCCCCTGAGCCTCTGGCCTGTACCCCAGTTCTGTATGAATAAATAAATCTTTAAAAAAAAAAAAAAAATCCAGATCCTTGATTTTAAGATGTTCATGTCTAAAATAAAATTTAAAGATACTAATTTCCTTCTAAGCACTATCTTAGCTATAGACCACAAACTTTGGTAGTTATATTCTCATTATTCAGTTTGGATCTCTTGATTGTATCCCACAGTTCACTAAGGCTCTGCTAATTTTTCAGTCTTTAGATCTGTTAATATCAGATGATTTTTTTTTTAAAGATTTATTTATTTATTTGTACAGAACTGGGGTACAGGCCAGAGATGCGGAGGGCGAGAGGATTCACCAGAGACAGGGCAGGAAGCAGAACAGGCAGATGGACGAGGTACACAGCGGGCGGGTCAGGAGAGGTCTGCCTCGCCATGTGGTCGCCTCCTGGGCAGGCGGGAATCAAACTCATGCGGAAGTGGCTTCAGTTTCCTAGTGCAGTGCTCTAACCCGCTGCGCCACCAGGGAGGGCCAATATCAGATGATTTTTATTTACATTCACTGACCCTCTCTTCTGCTGTATCCAGTTTGCTCTTAACACTGCCCAGTGAATTTTAAATTTTAGATTCTGTACTTCACAGTTCTACAATGTCTGCTTTTTATTCTCCACTTTGCAAATATGTTCACTCATTGATTTTTTTTTTAAGTCTTTGAACATATATGGAATAGCCACTTTAGAATTCTCTGCTGATTATAACATGTAGGTCGTCTTGGATCTGCTTCTGCTGACCAGTTTTTCTCTTCACCATGGCTCTTTTCTGGTATTTTTTCCCTAAATTCCAGCCCCACATTTTATTCTCAAACCTCTCAAGAAGTAGCACTATGGTTTTCTATGTCTATTGTAGTTACCCAGTATTCTTTAGAAGAAGCCGTGTTGTCAGGGTACAAAGTCTATAAACTGCTACCTCACCTAACTTGGGTGCCTTCTTTGAGGGATTGAGTGCCCATTTGGTGACTCTAAAAAGGCTTTTTTTTTTTTTTTTAAATGCTTTGTTTAGAGCTTGTTACTGTTATCTGCCAGAAGTTGGTCTGATGAGTTAATAGACTGTCGAAAAGGTCATGACATGTTTTTGTTTGAAAGACAGTAAAAATATGACATGACTTTTCTAACAACGCAATTCTTCACCATTACTGAATCATACTGGTTTTTGAACAATGGCAAATTATCAGAAAGTTGAGTTTTGCTGCATTTAAGAACATCTGCTATCACACACACCGCGACTTGTTCATTCTTCTAGAACAGGCAGATCCACTTTGAGGATGGTTATACCCTTGTTCATAGATGATTTGAGCAAAGCAAAATCAATAGTTTTACTTTTAACTAAAGATATCTAGAATATCTTGTAATTGAATTAAGAGGTCACCACTTCTCCACATTGCTTGTTTTCAGGTCTTTAACTTTTTGAAGTTTAATATTTAATTTTCTCAATTTAGATGAGTTTGGTGCTTTGGAAAGTGTGAAAGCTGCTAGTGAACTCTATTCCCCTCTGTCAGGAGAAGTAACTGAAATTAATGAAGCTCTTGCAGAAAATCCGGGACTTGTGAACAAATCTTGTTATGAAGATGGTAAGTTGTTGCTGGACTTTTTTTGAAGGGATAATTGCTACAGTTAGCATTTAATCTGGGCTAGTTTAAAGCAAGCATTAGCTGATTTGACTCCATGGTTTTGTACTTGTTGGTATTAAATAGAGATATCCTGCTTTTTAAAGGAAAAATGGAGAATAGCTCTATATTGTAAGATAATGTTTAAGATCTCTGTCAATAAGTGCATTGCCTATTTTACAGGGTTCTTAGTATCATAGTTGTAAATTTTGTAAACACCTGTAAAGTACCTCTTCAGAAATAAAGCAGCTGTGCAGAATAGGTGGTGATATAATTTTTAACTTTCCCATTTTTATCTTCATAATAACTCAGTAACATGGGCTACAGCAGTTCACCCCATTTTGTATATGAATTGAGTCCCCAAAAGATTTATCTATTAAGTCACACAGCTAACAGATGGCAAAATTGGGATTAGGTTGTAGCTCTAAATTTTTTAATTCATTATGGTAGATTCTATTATGCTTGTAGTTCTTTTCAGTTGTGATATGTAAAGATATTGATTTAATTATGAAAGCTAAAATGTAAAGCTGGAACAAATGATAAATGACTTATGTAAAGAATAGATTATTTTTGAGGTGCTCAGAATTTAAATTTTGAATGGATTTGACTTTTACTCTGTTAAAAGGCAATTTGGAATATAAAATACTTTTTTTTGGTTGCAGGTTGGCTGATTAAGATGACACTAAGTAACCCTTCAGAACTAGATGAACTAATGACTGAAGAAGCATATGAGAAATACATAAGATCTATTGAGGAGTGAAAATGGAATCCCCTAAATAAACTAGTATAAAACAACCTAATCTAACATAGTTGTCTTAAATTAGTGGATAGATAATTTAAAACAGCAACTAGCAATCTAGTGGAAAAATAAACTACTTGCAACAATGCTACTGGAAGAATATCCCTTAACATTGTAAATAACTGTAGATAAGCACAATATGCATCTTTTTCACAACATTATTTTTAGAGTAGGCTCCAATTATAACCAAAACTCTTGAAATTACCTGGTAGAAACTAGTTATAAAATTATGTACTTTAAGGACAGCATTTTCATCTTAAGCCTTATATAATAATGTAACTTGCTTATGTCTATTACTGGATTTGGGTCAAGTACTTAATAATCTTTTCATTGGAATAAATGACAGTGGGGAAAGGGGCTTTTTTTCTCCACTGTCTTACAGCATCAGATTAAACATACTATTGTAATTTTGCAATATACTGCATTTACTGGTGCTATTTTTATACAGTGAAGCAACAGCCTTGAAGGAAAATCAGAAACAGTTTAATAAAACATTCAACTTAATTATGATTTTTGTTTCACTGTTAATATTTCATTTAGTGACTGCTAGTATCTGAAGATACTATTTTTCAATTACAGAAAGTTATTTGAAGGAAACTTACGACTTTCTTAAGGTTCTAAGAAAGTCTATGAAAAATCTATGTGTATGTAATGGATATATGTATGTCATAGAAACAAACACATAAAAATACATACTTAACACAGAGCAAGAGCAGACTCTTATTTTCCTACTTAGTACAGGTAGAAGGAAGTATTAAGGGGCCATCAGCTAGTGATGAAGGAAAATTAGAGAACCAAGATGAAGTAGGTAGGATGTAACACACAGATCTTAACTGTTCCTTAGCAGACAGAAACCAGTTGTCACATCACTACTCACTATATCTTTACAACCTTATCAAGAAAGTAATTAAGATGTATCTAATATGGAAATAGAAGGGGGTGGGTAGTAATTTCATACATGTACCTTTTTGTTCTGAACTTATTTTTATATACTACCTTCTTTGATCTTTGTAACAGTCAAAATTTGCCTGTGCTAGGTTAGACATAACTACTACTGTTTTACAGAAAAGGGTTATGGGGAAGATTAGGGATTGTTAGAGAGGGAGTCATGCTAGATTTTTCATATTACTGGCCCACTCTTGATCAGTTTGCCATTGTCACTACTAAAACATTTAAATAGGAATCTGAGAGGGAAAAATAGGTGAATGTTTCTAAAGGTGAAAAGTAAAAAGTTCATTAACTAGTGTTTAACGGGCAGCTTTTCATTCTTCCCTCCTTTCTTAACACAAGACACACACTCTTACTCTGTACCAAAGAACAGAACATTATGGGAACTTGCTCCTTCACTATTGGGAATATAGTGCCAAATCCACCCTCGTTTCTATTATAGTGCTGCCAAAACTAACAGGCATTGAATACCCTCCAAATAGACAAAATGAGCAGAATTTAATTTCTGACCTCATTCCCTTTGGTTTAGATCTTAACAGCAGCTTAATTAAGAGAGCAGCTTAATAAAGATTTTGAGTTACGCTTTTTAATCATTAAAACTCAAAAACATGGAACAGGTTATTGAAAAATATTCTGTTAAGATCACCTTCTCAAGGTAGTTTAAAGAGGTAAACAATGTTTTAATAAACCTCTAGAGGGCTATACATTGGCATATTAGTACAAAAATGAGGTTGATATTTTATCCACTCAGCAAATCAGAATTTGTGAATTTCCAGTTCTTAGGCTGCTAAAATTTCAGTACCACCCACCTTCAGTTTTAAAAACAACTAACTGCCCACATTACTGCTCAACAATCACTATTCACACCTAATCCTGCCTCCGCCTTCCTCAGATTATATATTTATACCAAAATGTATATATACCAAGATTTCTCATCCCTAAAACATGGCTTTACTACTGACCATATATCCCTATAAGTCTTTTTCTTTCTTTCTTTTAAATAGAATGTTTTAAAGAGCAGATTTGGGTGCAAAATTGAACAGAAAAGCGTTTCCAGATGATTTCTGTATCCATCATTCTGTTTTGAGACCTCTTCCAACTCTAAGATCTTAGTGAGAGCTTCATATCTTGATTTAATTTCTACATTGGCTTCTTATAAACATAAGTCAATGAAACTTGTTCAGTATAAGTGGCCCATTATAACTGTTATCAGACAAGGTTAGTGGGAAAGAAATTTACCAGAGCTTCCAACTTCCATATGTACTTAGAGAATGTGCTTTCAGTCAAGTTTGTCATTTAGTAAATTTTAGTCAAGACTTCAGAAATCCTTCTAGAAATAGACAGCAACTTTAATGACTGGGTAACAGCCCTGCTAGTCGAAAGGTTTCAAAATTTATGTTTTAAAGAGAACTGAAGGGGAGCTGCCTTTTTTTTTCTTGTCTGGTCACTCTAATTTCTGGTATGGAAGAGACTTAAAAAATATTGAGAGGGCCCTCCCTGGTGGGACAAGGGGTTAAAGCTCAGCACTACAACTGTACATAGCCACTGTCCACAACCACTGTCTGCAGCTACTGCAGCACCAGTTGGATCCCCTGCCAGGGAGCTGACCTCTCCTGTCTTACCTTGCCTGTCTTGCCTGTTGCTCCTCTTTGCAGTGTATTTCAGTAAATCTGCCTGTTCTGTTCCCCACTTGTCTTTAGTGATCCTCTCATCCCCTATACCTCTGGCCTGTACTCCAGTTCTTGTATGCATAAAAAGTAAATCTTAAAAATGTTGAGATTGTTCTAAAAAAAAAAAAAACCCTATCATGTACATATTAATGTGGATAAGGTAACATATCCATTAAAATCAACTGGAATTGAATGTCTTATCCTAGCAACATAGGGTTATGTGTACATGAACTGGGGTGCGGAATGGAATAGCCCCATGCATTTCATTATGATATACCTCCAGTATTATTCATTTGTTTGCCATTTATCCACATGGAATATATACCTAATGTCTACAACTGAGCAGCAGTAATGAACTGTTTTAGCCTTATTGTCTCATGACAATTTTAAAATTTCATTTTGAATTCAATTTTTGGTCACTGGTTGACTACTCAGTAGTTTTTGACCACAAATGTTAGAACAAGATTCTGGAGAAAAAATAAAAATACAATTATGAATTTGATAAAAAAGTTTTTAAATTCATGCTTTTTTAAATAGATAATGGGTGTCAGTTAATATTTTTTAAGTAAAATTTGAAATGCCAACATTTATTATACTTTGGATGTTATCTTTGCTACTATTTATGATTAAAATTTTAACGCGAAATGTGATAAGGTATGCAGTTTTGTACAGTACTTTTCAGAGGTATGCAGGCATACCATTCCAGGTTGTGAAACAAGACCCAAATATGTGTATTTTAGGTAAAGAAATAATGCCTTAAAAAGTAGTTAGTCTGGGGGGGCTCCCTGGTGGCACAGGGTTAAAGTCTCAGCACTATCAACAGCCACTGAAGCATGAGCTCAATTCTGCACCAGGGGGGTGACCCATATGGTGCAGCAGATCTCTCCTGTGTCACCTGATGCTCCCCTCAGCAGTATATTTCAGCAGATCCACCTTTTGTGCTCCCCACTGTCTCTGGTGAATCCACTCAGCCCCCCTGTACTTTTGGCCTATACCCAGTTCTTGTATGCATAAATTTTAAAAAATAAATCTTTAAAGCAAAAAAGGAATATGGAAAAGTACTTTGTTTTAATATCTCAAAATAATGTACATATATAAATGACTGTCCCTTAGGCTTTAGAGGATTTCTAATTGTGTTTTGTATGTGGTGTAAAATCTAGTTGCCCTTTCACAGTGTCTTTCCACAGCAGAAATATTATTGAAAACCCATGGCTGCACCTCCAGATGCTCGAAGTGCCAGCACCACACAGGTGGGAAAGGAGAGAAAGGTGGCCTCCCCTGTCCTGAGCTAGCTCCTCAGTCTACTGAGAACCCCAGTCTACTTCTCATTTGTGTAAGAAATGCCAACGCCCACCTATGAGGCTAGCACCCACAGTTAGGGTGCTAGCAGGTACCGCCAGAGGAGCCAAACCAGTTCCCGCCCAGTCAAGTAGGCGGGTGTCCAAAGGCAAAGCAAAGCCCAGCAAACTAAGAACAGTGGGGCCAGCAGGACCCCAGGGCAGTTGTCCTCACAGGGCAGGTGACACAGCTGACAGCTGAGGGAGAGTGGAGCGGCCTGGTTTCTTGAAAATGGTGGCCGGAGTGGCCGTGGGCAGGCGGCCCACCACGGAATCGACTGCCCGTCCGACCAGCAGAGGGGTGCGGTACCCCACAGAATTTAAATTCCTGGCTCCCATCCATCTACAGCCCGGCCGGCACTATAGAATGCATCTTACCTCACGACGCGCCCAAAGGCGGTCGCAGCCATGAGTGGGCGCCTTACTCGCGAGTAAGTCAGTCGCGCTGTCGGGGGTGACAGCCCGCAGCACGTGCTGGGCGCGCACCGCCGGCGACGCCTCCCGCGCTCAGCTTTGTTACGCAAAGCTAGCTTACGTCACTTCCGCCTAGAACACTCACAGACCCGCCCACCGCTCCGCCCACAGCGCGTCCGTCCGTAACCCAGGGCAACAGTTTCCCTCTCCAGCCTGCGGGACTTAAGGTACCCCGGGGTCTTCCACCCCGCTGGCCCCACAGGAGGGTGTGAGCGTCTGCGGCCGCCTCCCCGCCCCCGGGGCAAGGCCCCAGACCATTCCACGGGCGGCAGAACGCGAGAACTTTCCCACTTGAAAGGAAGCTGCCCTGAGGCGGGGAAGAAAAAGGGAGAGGTATTGTGGGCCTAAGCTCCACCTTGGAGGTGGCGGGGCCTAGGGGAGGGGCGGCGCGAAATGGATGGGGAGGTGGGAGGAGACAGGAAAGGGCAGAGCCCTGTGAGGGAGGAGCAACGGAGACAGGGGCGGGAAATAGTGGAAAGGAGAGGTTAGTGACAGAAAGGCATGTGTCTCCAGTGGCCCAAAGGAGCTGTCGGAAGTGGGGGAGGAGCTAAGTGAGGAAGAAAGAACTAGGGAGAAGGGGAGGAGCTTGTGTGGTGGGCGTGGCCTGTATGGAAAGGGTGGGGCTACTGTAGGAAGGGGCGGGGTCAGGTGTGAGGTGGCTGGTCTTTAGGTGGAGTGTGTTTTGATGGCTTGTTCTTTCTAGTAAACTGTGAGTCTTGTGAGAGCTGGGAAGATGGGCATTGCTTTATTATTGTGTTCCAGTGTTAGGCAACCAACAGGAATTTAGTGAGTGAATGAATGTGTGTGGAAAAAGAGCAGAAGTTAGAGACTATGATTTGAGTAAAAATGGTCTGAAGATCAGGGCTGGATGTCAAGACGGCACTTCTAGGAATCATTTTATAAATAAAGCCATTGTGTTCAGTGTTCAAGTAATAAGCATAAGTCATTGATAATTGACTTGGGGAGGTAAAGTAACGCTTTTTCAAGTGTGAATAAATTTTGCAATTTGGGTAGTGCAGGTGTTTAACTTTGAAGCAAAATGTCAACTTCTGTCGAGTTGTGTTCAAAGTTAGCTTAGATTCCCAGTCACATTTTTCTTTAGAGATTTTATTATCAGCGATCAACCAGACTGTTCATCTTAAAACATCTTCAAGACCTACTTAGTTCATATGCTTGAAGCACATTAAGAAGCAATTTCCATCATGAGTAACAGTGTTTATTTATTTATTTATATATTTAAAGATTTATTTACTAATGCATACAAGGGCTGGGGTACAGCCAGAGATAGGAGTTGAGAGGATTCACCAGACACAGAGTGGGAAGCAGAAAGGCAGATCTACTGAAATACACTGCTGAGGGGAGCAGCAGGTGGGTCAAGAGAGGTCTGCTACATCATGTGAGTCATGGGGGAGGATCGAATTCATGTTGCAGTGGCTGTGGATAGCTTCATCATGCTGTGCTTTACCCGTTACACCACTAGGGAGGGCCATGTAACAGTGTTTATAATAATAGATTGTTTTTATTCAACACACATTTATAAGGATCCACAGGAACATTCATTAAGAACTGCAAATGAAGCTGTCAGAAGCCCATCTTTCCCTGTCTGAAATTCTGACATGGATTTCAGATTCTGTTAAACATGAAACTTCTAGGAAGGAGAGGGTTAGCTATGGAGGGGCATATTGTGGAGCCAATGGCACGGTAAGGAGTTTGGAGAGATTACAGCCTGCTCTTGACTTAAACACTCTGGACTTTTTGCTTTTACTGGCCCATCAACATCCTCCACCCCCTTAAATGATTAGGGATATGTCAACCAGGTGGAAGAATTTAGGACCAGGCATTTGCAGCCTGACTGTATAGACAGGCAAAGGCAAGTAAGTGACATACGTGTGACCATTCATATATTCCCTGACTGCACCACTCCAGTCTCTGCCACTGGGGTCATAGACCACCTTCTCTCTTTCTAATCTCCTTTTCCCTCCCTGGTATACATGTTATTGCATAGCAGATGCTCTATTCAAACATAACCTCTTCTAGTTCTATCCATGTTGCTGCAAATGGCATGAGCTTGTCTTTTTGATTACAGAATAGTATGTGTATATATACACCCTCCCTATTGGTGTAACGGGTAAAAGCACAGCACGATGAAGCTATCCACAGAGCCATACATCTGTTTTGGGGCAGTTAAGTTGTTCCCATATCTTATTATTGTGATTAGTGCTGCAGTAAATAAAGGAGTGCAGGTTTCCTTTCAAATTAATGTTTTTGTGTCCTTTGGGTAGACTCCTAGGAATAGAATCTTTGGGTTATATAGTTGATCCGTTCTTGCTAATTTGAGGAACCTCCACATGGCTTTCCATTGTGGTCAAGCATTTTGCATTCTCACCACCAGTGCGAGAGGGTTCCTTTTTCTCTGCATTCTCACCAGCATTTGTTGTACGGGCGACCCTTAATTATATCTTTAAAGTGGTTTTTTTTTTTTTTACCATATAAAGTAGCATTGGCAGGTTGGAGGGATTAGGGTATGGGTATCTTGGGAGGGCTATCATTCAGTCTACCACATATAACACATTAGTTTTGGAGTAATTTGTTATATAGCAGTAAGTAATTGGAAATTAACTGGCTGTGTCTCTTTGGATGACCTCTTTGTAAACCTTGTTTTGCTAATCTGTAACTTTGAATCACTCTATCTAGAGAAATTATAATGATCATCAGGTGCTTGGTTAGCAGTGGTTGTCTTTTCCTTCCTCAGTCTTCTCTTTTTTCAACTCAGTTTCCTGAGAAATTCCTGAAATGCTGTGGTAGAAATTGGTCATTTGTGGTGGCTTCTCTGAATGTGTTACAGGGTAGCCCAAAGTAGAGTTGGGCTGCCTGTCTGTGAGGCCTTGCACACTCAAAATGTAATTTTCTGCAGGCACAGGCAGAAAAGGTAATGGGTTTGTTTACAAAAAAGGGAAAGGAAAAAGGAAACAACCCAGGGAAAGAGGGATACAAAATTGCTGGAATACTTTACCAGCTCGCTGCTAACTCTATACTCCAAAGCCCCAGAATGCCTGCTTAGCTCTGCCCTTAGGTCCTCACATTTCTCTCCTTGGTGCTGCTGGGAGTTGTAGTTTTCCAATCACTGAAGTAGGGGGTGGAATCCAGAAA